TCATTGTTGTTTGGCGGGTCCGGGCTGGGGATTCGAACCCGCCACCTTAGGTGTACGTGGCTGGCGCCTTAGCCGGTTGAGCTATAGGCGCCGAGCCTACCTGCTTGTATTTAAATACCACTCCCTGCCCCCAGCTGCACCCCAGCCCCCTCCACAGTGCTCTGGGAGAGCTATAGGCTGAACAGAGAGGACTGTCAGTGGAAACATGAGGATTAGCCGCATTTGGGAAAGAGCTTTGATGTGTTCCAAAGTCCAGTTGTAAAACAAAACTAAAGTAGAGGCCCCCAAACAGCACTATCTTCAGAGTATTTGTATTCCAGGGTCCTATGCCAAGGTCTTGGAACTATTCCTTATCAAGCCTCAGAGAAGGAGACATTTAGATCTCAGGAGTCTGAGCGCTGGCACTCAGGTAGCTGAGTGTCATGCCTTCAGCAAGCGTTGCACAGGAGCCGGGGCAGAGGTGCTCAGGGGCCAGGGCAGAAGTGATCGGGGGATTTGCCTCTTGCACAGCAAGTGAGTGCAGGGCCAGGACTGACCCCCTAACTCAGAGATCAGACTGCCATCCAGGATGCTATATGGCTGCCTACTAGCCCAAGGCCTGGGATCTTTTCAGTGCCCTTCTCCCCCCAAAGATGACATGTGACTCTCAGGATGTCTGGCCACATAGGCCTCTTATAGGCCCCTGATGGGCTCCATGCAGTGCTGACTTTGAGGTCGTAGGAGGGAGGGGACACAGGTGCAGACAGGTGGCAGGGCTGCCAGGACACTGAGAATGCTCCCTCCCCCCACAGGAGAGAGAGATCCAAAGTGCCCTACATCGTGCGCCAGTGTGTGGAGGAGATTGAGCGCCGCGGCATGGAGGAGGTGGGCATCTACCGAGTGTCTGGAGTGGCCACGGACATCCAGGCGTTGAAGGCGGCCTTTGACGTCAGTGAGTGTCAGCCCAGGCAGTGTGGAGGTGTGGGTGGTGGTGTCTGTGCTGAGACTCTCAGAGCATCTTCCATGGTCCAGGCCTGTCATGTTTTTCTCTGCACCTTTTCTATACTGTTTTGGTTTTTTTAATTTTTGTTTTTTGAAACAGAGTCACCCTCGGTAGAGTGCTCTGCCATCACAGCTCACAGCAACTTCAAACTCTTGGGCTCAAGCGATTCTTTTGCCTCAGCCCCCCAAGTAGCTGGAACTACAAGCGCTCCCCACAATGCCTGGCTATTTTGTTTGTTTGTGTCAGTTGTCATTGTTGTATAGCAGGCTCAGGCTCGGTTCAAAACTGCCAGCCCCAGTGCATGTGGATGGTGCCACAACCACTGTGCTACCAGTGCTGAGCCTTTTTTTTTTTTTTTTTTTTTGAGGCAGAGTTTCACTTTGTCACCCTTGGTAGAGTAGCATGGCATCAGGAGCTCACAGCAATCTCAGACTCTTGGGCTCAAGCAATTCTCCTGCCTCAGCCTCCCAAGTAGCTGGGACTACAAGCACTACCACAACACCCGCTTTTAGAGATGGGGTGTCTTGAACCTGTGAGCTCAGGCAATCCATCTGCCTCAGCCTCCCACAGTGCTGGGATTACAGGCGTGAGCCACCATGCCCAGCCCTGCTGTTTTATTATTTGGAAAGATGAGAAGACAAGAGTTGTGGGAGGAGCTTCTGCAGAAGCCAGGCCTTACACTATCCCAGCCACGAGAGCCGCTAGCTCGGCTGGACCAGGGACTTCCCTGGGGCCTTGGCCTGCCTATCTTAGGAATGGACAGGAGATGCCAGGTTCAAGGGTCAGTGCAGTCTCACTACTGGCCAGCTTGAGAATGTGGTGTGGAAAGGGCACTGATGTAACCCAGCTCCTGCCAGCAGCATCGCATCTCTACCTCATCTCAGTAACCCTCATGCTGGGAAGGAGGCAGAACTGCCCCAAATGCCAGGGGAGGCTTGAAGACACCAGAGGGTTCTTGCCCAGCATCAGCCTCAGAGTGACAGGTGGTAGGAACAGAACTTTGTGCCCACAGACCCTTCCTTCTACAGGGCACACACCACTCACTCTGGTCAGAACCCCTGGATGGGCCCTGCTGTAGTTTTTGCTCCCTCTGGGCAACCAGAGTGGACCCAGCCTGTGGCACAGAGGGTCCAATAACCACCTAAACCCAAAAGAAGGTACCAGTTTAATCACTAAAACAGATCAGCTAGTCCCAGTGCCTTCCTGCTCTCAGAAGACTCTGGCACCAGAACAGTTGCTATATACAGGGCAGAACCACCCGGTTCCCTGCCAGGCGCTGTGTCCTGCTCCACTGGACACCCCCTGGCCAGCACATCCAGCTTTGCTGCCAGGGTGCTCCTAACTACCAGAGGAGAGGGGCACAGGCCTCCCTGTCGGCCCTGCGCAGGTGCAGAACTGCACAGGGTTGCTTAGGAGGAGGAGTAAGATGAGCTGCTCAAAGCGGGGGTGGGGGGGGACCCACAGCCAAGGCAGAGACTGCAGACACCCGGGCTCAGGATCCATTTCCATGCTTTTCCCAGATAACAAGGACGTGTCGGTGATGATGAGCGAAATGGACGTGAACGCCATCGCCGGCACACTGAAGCTCTACTTCCGAGAGCTGCCTGAGCCCCTCTTCACAGACGAGTTCTACCCCAACTTCGCCGAGGGCATTGGTGAGCATCCCCACCTCTCCACTCTCCAGTCTACTGCTGTCCTTGGCGGCTATTGTCAAAGGCAGGGTGCAAGAGCCCAAGCCACGCCCCTCCACCATGGTCTGCATTTCAACCCAGCCCCAGAAAGCTGTCTGCAGGGCCATGGGGATGGGAAGCAAGCCTGTCTGTGAGGCCTTGACCCTCCCCAGAGGACTGTCCCCATCCCACAAATAAGTCAAGAGGGTGACGCCTGTGACTCTAACCCCAGGTCCTGGCCCCATCAAGTGCAGGTTCACACTTAGCCCGACCCTGAGTCAGCCTGGAGGGTGATGTCCCAAGGTGTGCTGGCATAGGAGGCGTGTCTGCCTCCCAGGGCTCAGGCCGCAGACCCCATCTCCCCAGCCGGCATGTGCCCCAGCTTGTACAGGGCAATGAGGGGCATCTGGGGATGCAGTGGGGCCGGTGCCACCCAACCTTCTCATCCCACCTGCTTAGTTCCAAACAGGCCTTTTCCTGCCTTGGGCTCTTCTGAGTGGTCAGAGGTCAGAGGAAGTGGCTGAGTCAGCCCCAAGGGCAGGTCTACCCATGAGCATCCCCCGTACAGCCCTTCCTGCTGCTGGTCCCTGGTGCCACTGACCCCTCTGAGCGAGAGCAGAGATGTTCAGGAAGTTCTCAGTCTGCTCAGGTCCCCATCACGAGGTCCCTGTGGGGGGCCAGCACTGCTGTGTGAACAAGGACAATGACGAGCCTGGACTGGCTTGTGCAGTGGTGCCAGGAGCTCTCTGCGGCTGCCTGTGGGAGGTCTTCAGCCTGCTATCGTGGCTCTGGAAGTCACACACCTCCACCCTCTGCAGCCCTTTCAGACCCTGTTGCAAAGGAGAGCTGCATGCTCAACCTGCTGCTGTCTCTGCCAGAGGCCAACCTGCTCACCTTCCTCTTCCTTCTGGACCACCTGAAAAGGTAGCCCCAGTTCCTCTGCAGGGGCCTGAGGCTCCAGAACCCCCAGTAGCAGTGTCTCATTGGCCCCAGCCAGACTGCCTAGCACCCAGGGCCTTTTCTGCATACCCCATCTGTAATTACCCCCTCTGGGGATCAGCACTTTTGCCATGCCCATCTATCCCCCTTCTGCCACCCCCCACACACACCATGGTCTTACACAAATAGCAGGGTGCTTCACTATGGCCAGCAGTGCACCTGGCCTCCCATCCTGCCCCCACCCCATGTCATGGCTCAAAAAGAAACTCAAGTATTCCTTGTCCTAGGTCCCTCAGACTCAGAAGAACCTAGGGTGCAGTCTGCTTTCCACACAGCCAGGGTCAAGGTCCTCCCTCCCTGGGAGGCTGTGCTATATAACCTGCCACCACATATCCTGAGGACTCCAGGGTGGCCTGATACCTCTGCCTTTATCCTGGAGTTGGTATTGAAATAGCACCCTCTGTTATGGCCTCTGCAGAGTGGCAGAAAAGGAGGCAGTGAACAAGATGTCCCTGCACAATTTGGCCACGGTCTTCGGCCCCACGTTGCTGCGCCCCTCGGAGAAGGAGAGCAAGCTCCCTGCCAACCCCAGCCAGCCCATCACCATGACCGACAGCTGGTCCCTGGAGGTCATGTCCCAGGTATGGGGGGATAGGCTCTAGCCCATGCTACACTGACCTGCCCCGAGCCCTGTCAGTCTTACCACCCACATTTACACTGACCCACCCCAAGCCCTGTCAGTCTTACCACCCACCTTGTACATGGCATTGGCCAAGGTTCAGAGACAGGGACTTTCCTAGACCCATGTGGCTGGTAGGGGCAGGGAGGACCCAGGCCACCAGGTGGTCCTGCTGGAGCACCTGGCCCTGAGCTGTAAAACAGCCCAAGTCCTGCCTGATTGGGACCTCACCCCAGCAACCCCTCCAGGTTCTCTTGTTGGGCTCAGGTCACCAGCAGGGACCCTCAGCACCCTGAGCTGGACTTAGGCACTTGGACCAAGAAGACCCACACACCTGCAGCTGTCAACACCCTTCTGAGCCATTTTCCTCCTCCCGGGCAGGTCCAGGTGCTGCTGTATTTCCTGCAACTAGAGGCCATCCCTGCCCCGGACAGCAAGAGACAGAGCATCTTGTTCTCCACTGAAGTCTAAAGGCCCCAACTCCATCTCCAAGAGTCCGGCAGAACAGCCTGGAAACCTCTGGCTAAATGGGCCATACATACAGAGCGGGAACCGAACCTTCTTGAAGTGTTACTGGGTCACCCCAAGAGTCTGGGCGCCTGCCAAGAGACAGCTACCCCAAGCAGAAGGCCAGGTGTGCCTGGGCAGGGCCAGGGCTGGCCTGGGACTGTGGTTTTCCCCCACTGCCACCAGAGGGCGCCCCAGTGCGTCTCAGCGTGCAGGCCCCGCCCCTGGGCGCGGGTTAAGAGTGATTTTTATGAACTTAACTTATCAGAGTTTAAAAGATTTCTACTGGATCACTTGTCAAGATGCACCCTCTACGGGGAGAAGGGAACACGACCAGATTCCCTCACTGTTGTGTCTTGAATAAACGCTGCTGCTGCTTCATACCGTGGGGGCCACGGCCCTGTCCCTGTGTGGGTGGGGGCCTTCCCACTCCCCAGACTCAGAAATCCGACTCCGGTTTTAATAGGGCTTGAGAAGCTAAGTAGACACGGTAGCGTTTTGACTCCATTCACTGCTTTCTCCTTTGTCTTTCCAGAAGGATTTCTGTGCAGAAATGGGTCTGCTTCTGGCTCTTTGCTGTTGCTTTATTTCTGCTGTGTGTACGCTCCGGGGAGGCAACACCTCCTGGGGGAGGCAGCGCCGTGTGGAGCCTGGAAATGTCCAGGGACCGGACACCAGGGGGAGGGAGGCCTGGGCCGCGCACTTTATGGTATTTTCTCCAGGGAGAGTGATGGTATCGACTGACCCGTTTGCCCGCTGGCCCAGACTCTCCTTTTTGGCTTAAAAAGGCCCTGAGTTCTCTGGCTTCTCTCTGCCTGGCCCCTAGGCGAGCCCCACAGTCCCTCCATTCCTTCTCTCTCCTACGAACAGACTCACCTCACTTTTGTAAGAAGTTTCCTCTTTTGGCAGCGGCAGTTTGCTGACAGCTTGTTTTAAAAAAATTTGATCTGAAATAGCCTTTTGATACTTGAATATTTTTAAGTTTTATATACATAGTTTCTAATTTTTTTCCTAACAGATTCAGATACCTAATAAGATATTAGAATGTACTCAGTGGACAGCCGGTGTCCCAGTAGCATTTCGTCTTCCTGTGTGGGCCAACTCTGTTTTCTCCAGGAGTTGTTTCTGAAGTCTCTGGAGCATGGGGAATGTGGGGGCAGGGGGTGTGTAGAACAGGCCAGGCACAGGGTTTCAGGGGCTCTCATCCCAACAGGCCTGCTGCCACCCTCACTCTCTGCCCCCTGTCCTCTCTGCACACCCTCCTGATCACCCAGCTTCTATAAAAGAACCATGGAGGCTGCCAAGTACAGTATTTTGAAGAAACAAACTTAGGAACTTTGCATCCCTTTTTAAAGAGGAGGGGAGGGCAGGGAGAAAGGAAATAGGCAGAGTTTCTATGCTGGCCTTGCAGGAAGAGATGACGCAGCTGACCAGAGAAGGGACGCGTTGCTACACTCAGGAAAACACGTGTGGATTTTCTGGTGATGGCACCAGTCCCCGGTGTCCATCGATCCTTCCCGAGTTGGAGGTGTTGAGGGTTCACGCTTGTATCTGGGGGCAGCTCCAGGGAGCCCATGGCAGCCTGACAGCTAAGGGCCACACGCCCCCCACTCTCCCCTCTGCTCATGGACCTACCGAGGTGGGGAGCAGAAAACAAAGGCACTTGAAGGTTTTACATCTGTATGTGGTATTGATTTGGTTGTATGAGAGCAGAGGCACCATTTTAAAGTAGTGCCTCCCTCCCTGGGCGGACAGATGGGAGTCTTTGGCCTCTGCATGTGTCTGGGCCCAGGGGGCTCCTCTGGCCCGGCTTCCCTTCTCCGTCCATCTCAGCAGCCCTCCTACCCTGCAAGGGGGACACATTTTGCTTAGAAAAGCCAAATCCTCCCCTTGTTTCTGCCTCCTCCAGTGTCTCACAGTTTGCATCGGTCGCCTTGAAACTGGAAAAGCAATATATCATGTCTGTGCCAATTTTCCTTCCCTCCCTGACCACCTTCCCCCCTTTTCTTTTTATTTATGTAGGATGTGTGCTGTGTAATGACGGAATGACTGCTCTTTTCTGTGTAGTTGTAAAAGTGCCCCTCTGCCACCAGGCCACAGTGATGATGGTTGCTTTGGATCTGGGGCTGCCGTCACCCCATCTCCCACCTCACAGGCTCGTGGGTTGGCAAAGTAGGCAAGAGCCTAGCACCCAGTGTGAGCTCCCGGGAGGTGCGGTTGCCGGACTGTGCCAGTGGAAGTGGTGTTTTTCTGCCGGGGCCCCTGGTTTAAGCAGCAAGCTGTGGTCTCTGCTTGGAGGTAGCCCCGCCTTCTGGCAGTGGGTGGCTGGGCTCTTAGCAGCTGTGGTCCTGCTTTGGAGCTCAACTGTCTACGTATAGCCAAGGGGAAAGACTGCTGACAGTTTCATTAAAGTTACCTGAGACTACGTGCATTAGTGGTGATTTCTAGATTAAAAAGAAAAACCAACATGGTGATCACTGGGAAACAGCTCTGAGCTGGTGGGGTGGGGTTGAGGTGCACAGTGACAGGCCTTGCTGAAACACCAGCTTCAGCATTAGGACCCGGTGCAGCAGCAGCAGCTCCACAGAGCTCAGCACAGTCTGGTGTGGGCAGGGACCACAGCCTTAGGTGAGAGGAGGGACAGATGGCAGATAGAGCTGGCCAGCCAGTGTTCCTTTGCCATGCTGGGCCCAGGGGCAGGGAGGGCTCCAGCCTGGGGTCTGGCTCTTACAAGCCCTTTGGTCTTGGCTGTTTCTGCTCAGACCTGAGCCTGGTGCTGCTTCCTACTCAGTGGATGGGATGTGGACTTTCTGAGCCACTCCAGCCTTGCCCTCAGAAGTCCGCCCAGCTCACAGGGGACAGACGTGCAACCCGGGTCCTACCTTGATGAGTGCAGCTTAGGGACAGCCAGGCCACGTCCACTCGGCCTTCAGCCATGCCTGTGTCAGTCATTACCCTGAGTCCCCCACCCCCAGGGGAGCAAGGCTCACCTAATAAGGACTGCAGTTTACCCATTGAGGTGGCCGAAGGATGGATGAGTCCCAGGTCTTTCTTGAATTCCCAGGAGGTGGTTCCCCTCATCAGCCACCTGGTCAGCTCTCTGTGGGGGGCGGGGAGGGCTGGTCACATGGTTTCCTACCTGCAGCCTGCCCATGGAGGATGCTGTAGCCATGGCCAGTTCCTTGACAGAGGGAGGCTGTGGAGGTGTCTGGGGAGAGACAGGACCGGGGATAGCAGCCCTGAGCTCAGGTTCTCACTTCACTGGCCCAAAGCTGACCTAGGACTCCGAGGGGTGGGGAGGGAGTGTGCCTCCATCCTTAGGTCCCCTGAAGGCCTCACAGCCCCCACACAGGGTTTGCAGTGGGTCCTGCCTTTGCTGGAGAACCTGCGTGGATGATACACTGTTAGCCCAGACTGATGTCTGCTGACAGGGAAAGGGCTGCCGCTGCCCCACTCAGAGCGTCCAGCCCTGAAAGGTGACAGCACTCTTCCCCACTGCCTTCCTGGGCATGGAGACCTGCTGCAGTTGGCTCACCAGATTTTCCAAGCAAGAACTGACAGTGGGTGTGGCCCCCAGCACAGCCCAGGGAGCAGGACAATTCACTGCTGCCCAAATCTGAGATCTTCACACCTTGGTGGGGCCTCCTAATTCAATCCCTTTACTTGATAAGTGGGGAAACCAGGGTACCCAAAGCAGCCTTGATGCACTCGGTGCCCAGCTTGATCCAGGAGCAGAGGCTGAGATCCAGGTGTCTTGACACCCTCTTGCCCCAAGCTTGGTCCCTTTATGCTGCATGAGATGCGGCCAGACCTTGCCCATCAATCCAGCCTGGACCTCTATGCTCATGCTCAGCACCCCAGCCCCAGCCCCCTGGCATGACACTCTATCTGAATAAAGGGAAGGCAGGATTTCATATAGAAATCTCAGAAGGACTTATACACCCACCCCACAAAAAGAACACCCTGATGGGCAGTGCCTGTGGCTTAGGGGGTAGGGTGCCAGCCCCACATACTGAGAGTGGCGGGTTCAAACCCAGCTAAAACAGCAGTGGCAACTGCAACAAAAAATAGCCAGGCGTTGTGGTGAGCGCCTGTAGTACCAGCTACTCAGGACACTGAGGCAAGAGAATCACTTAAGCCTTAGAGTTGGAGGTTGCTATGAGCTATGATGCTATAGCGCTCTACTGAGGGTGATGTAGTAAAACTCTTGTCTCCAAAAAAAAAAAAAAGAACTCCCTGATTACTTCTAAAAAGAAACGTTTACATGGGCTAATCATGCCAGGCTCTTGCAAATAGCTTTTGGAAAGATAAAAAGAAAACATGAGGGGTGACAGGTGCTGTTTGTTGGCCCAAATGGAGTGGCTGCCATCAGTCAGCAAACAGGATTACAGAGCACTCCTGGGTGAGGGGTCAGACCCCGGGTGTCTAACTGGAGAGAGACATGGCTGCCCAGCAGAGCTCTGCGGCACCCCAATTCTCACAGTACAGAAAGGCCAGCTGAGGCTGTGATGAGATAGCCAAACAAGGAAATGGATTCCTGAGTGTCAGGGCCCCAGTGCGTCTCTCAAATGTGGCCAGATTGGAAAGACCAGCTGCTATGGGCAGGCAAGGGTGCTTTTCTGAGAGCTCCCAAACAAGGTGATGCCAAGTGCCGTGGACTGGGCAGCCTGGCTGGATGTCCATGGCCATGCATTCCAGGGAAGGCTATCTCAGGGCTTCTGTGGCCAGTTCTCTAACTAGAACAGGGGGACCCAGCCCTTCTGAGGGCTCAGTCCACACACTATTTTGCCGTTTCCCTCCTATGGACAGATGGGGCAGGGTTTGCCCAGAAACCCTCCCTTTAAATAGTTTCCAGTCACTGTCAGTACTGGAGCCAGGTGCAGTGAGAATGTAACATTGAAGCATCAAAGCTGGGGAACCAAGGTGTGGGGCCAAAACAAATTCAGGTTCCCAATAGCTGTGAGCTGAGAAGCCACCAGAAGAGAAGGCACCAAGATGGCCTGAGGCTTGGTGGGGGGGGAAAGGTATTTGGAACAAGCTGAGGGATCTGTGATCTTTTTGTTATTGTTGTGGTTTTGGTTTTTTCTTTTTTGAGACAGAGTCTTACTATGTCGCCCTGTAGAATGCTGTGGCATCACAGCTCACAGCAACCTCAAACTCTTGGGCATAAGCGATTCTCTTGTCTCAGCCTCTCAAGTAGCTGGGACTACAGGTGCCCACTACAATGCCTGGCTGTTTTTTTATTTTGTTATTTATTTTTTTAGAGACAGAGCCTCAAGCTGTCCCCTGGGTTGAATGCTGTGGCATCACAGCTCAGAGCAACCTCCAACTCCTGGGCTCAAGCGAGTCTCTTGCCTCAGCCTCCCAAGTAGCTGGGACCA